AAAAATGAAAATAATATGATCTCTTCTTTTTATTTTATTGCTAGCAGACCTAATATTATATTCTGTGTATATCTATATGCTAGATTTCAAGCTAATACAAATGAATCCCATATAACTATTGTTAAGAGAATTCTTAGGTATGTCATAGGCACCTAAAACTTAGGCATTTTGTATCTTATATATAGCAGCACATTTAAAATTATAGGATATTCATGCTCAAATTTTGTAGTGTAGAGTAGACATGAAGTGCACTTATGGCACTAGTTAATTTATAAGTCAATCCCTAAATTCCTGGTCAAGTAAAAATTAGATGAGCCCAAGTTGATTTAATGAATTAAACCCAATCACCATATTTTTAAGCTTAATGTTGATGGCTTTATTAAAAGCAGTGGTTGTGGCTGTGGTGTTATTATTAGGAACTCCTTTGGTAACACTATTAGGGCCTATGTTGGTCCTTTACACAAGTGCTCTGTTATTTCTGATGAACTTTTGGCTATCTTATATGATATTAAATTGTGTATTTCCCTTGGGATCTTTAACATTTGGACTAAGGTGGATATAGCATTAATTGTTTAAAGGATTCTAAAATAGTATTTGCATCCCTTATTTGTTTTATTTTATTCGGGACAACAAGCAGATGCTGGTTCTTTTTAATTTTACCATGTCTCAAATTTTTAGGGAAGGCAACCCTTGTGCTGATTGGTTAGTCAATTATGACTATAATCTTAAATTTCATATGGAATTTACTTACAATAATTTGCATGCATACTTGAAAGTCCTTATTAGGTTGGATAAATTTGATCTTCCTTATGTTAGATTATAATTATGTATTTTGTGTTATGCTTTTTGAGCCTTTCTACACTTTGGATTTTAATTTTGGATTCCTAGTGGTTTTTCGGGCTGCTCTATGGTTTTCAGTTTTATATCTTGGGTAGATTTGCAGATTATTTTGGTTGGGATGTTCTTTGTAATGATTGCAATCCTTTGGATTATGATTCATTACTTATTTTCTCCGATCTATTCCTTTACTGATCTTGAGAGAATTTGTTGATATTTTGTATATTCATTTGGTTGTCAATGTTCTGGGTTTGAACATTAATACCAAATTTTTAGGGATTTGTCCAACAGCTATTCTTAACCAATAATATCTTAATTCAATGAATATTTGGATTGGTTTGGTTAATTAAAATTCAATCCTATATTCCTTCTATAAGAATGGGATTTAAATAATTAAATAAATACACTGAACCAAAACAAAATTAAACAAATTTTAAAATACATAAAACTTGAATAAATAAATAAAATAAGATAAAATAAAAATAGATGAATATTAAATAAATTCAATTTACTTAAACCAAATAAAATCTAATAATTTACTTAATTAAATTAGATTCAATTAAATAAATTCATTAATTAAATATTAAACAAATAAATAAATAACCTTTATGCATTATGTTTACCCTATTTTAGTAGGATTAATTACATTGGATTCGTACATGCATGCATTTAACTTTTTGCAACATATAGTAGCCTGACACACAAGCCGCCAACAATGAATGAGGAGCCCGAGAGATGATGGTATCGTAGTTTTTCTATGGGCTAGGGTTGTTATACTGCCAAATTTTTATAGAAAATACATACTTAGAAAATTTTATAGAATTCAATTTTAATTAAAAATAAAACTTAGACTTAATGCCGTCTTTACCTCAGAACTGTGTTAGTTAAGTGAATTTATTCATATTCATGTCACTAAACTTTGATTATAAATCTGAAGCATAATCCTTTATTCTAATACTAATAATAGTATCTTATCTGCATGCATTAGACCTTAAAACATGATTTTAAAATTATGTGTTTATGTGGTTAGCAAGCAGCTCACTCCAAATGGGCACAAGTCTAGATGCATTTACATCTCTCAAAATTCCTTTCGAGGGGATTATCCTAACCTTTCAAATAAATTCTATAAATTTAAAAAGTACTTTCAAAATGATTGATTGAAACCTTTAAATATTTAAATCAAATAGAATTATTTTTTATATCTAAAATAAGTCTAGTCTCCATGTTAATAGAAAGTTTTATCTTTGATGATGTAATTAACTATAGAGATTTACCGTTATAAGAACCCAGATTAAAATAAACCATAGTTTGGATCACTAAGATAGGAGAAAAATCTTTTGGACACAATCTATAGCACATTTCTTAATTAATTTTATTTTCAAAATAATAGGTGAATATGAATTTTAACCTTCTGGATCAATTTTACATTCCTTATGCTGAGTGTAATTATAAAAATAACTTTTTTCCCGCCTTTCAAGTCAATATGAAGTTGGCTATGCAGATTTGACTAAAGAAATATAAAGCAAAACAATTGTCATCATTTGTTTGTCCACAAGTTACAGTACTTCTCCAAGGGCCTCTTTTGGGAACGAGCCACCTTCCCTACTACTTATAAGTAGCATGTGCGTGATTGATTGAGGTAGCCCTTCACAATAATTTATCTCCCCTTTGTTAGAAATTTAATTGCGACATGGTAAATGGATACCACAACTCTAAATATATTTAGTAAAGGCCAAAAAAGATGTCATTATAGATCTTCAAGGCATCCAAAATTTTGATGTCATCCATGGTTGCGTATTGGCAGTCACCTTCATCTGAAGTGATGGGTAGGGTGAGTACTCCAATGTCTCTACACTCTCCTAAGAAGTTATATAATGTTCTACAATGGGGGTGAGCTAGGAGGCAAGTTCATTTTTATTAATATTGATTTAAAATTTATATTTAGAAAGTTTCATGTTTCTATCAAAATGTTGTCAATATGAGAGTTGGGATTAGGGCATTTATGACTATGGCGTCATTGTGCGGGTTTCCTCCTATGGGCTTGTCATCTTCATATAAAGTGATTGACGCAAAATCCACTATTAGAGCTCATGAGGTGGACATCGAGTTGACTTATGTAATCTTCATTTATTTGTACTCACCAGTGAGTCCATTTGCTTACTATCCATAATTTTAGGCATGACTTCTATGATATTTATTAAGCAAACTAGAATAGGCTCATAGCTTCCTCTTTCTACAAGAACCATTCTTAGGCGCCTATAAGGAATAACGAGTATAAACTCCAATTTTTTAATATTAATCAAATATTTTACTAACCTATGAAGGTGGAAACATACCACTATATCATGTCTATGGTCCATATGGAAAACAAAATATTTTGAAGTGTCCTATGTGTGTGCTTCACCTTCATGGGTGGCGGGTGCTTCAACTCCTTATTCTAGATTACCTTTACTAGTTTGGCTATGGATACTATAAAAAGAATGTAATTGGGATAAGCCGGCAGATGAGACATGACTTACTCATGGTACGGGTAAGTTTTTCCATCCATTGTGTAGGTGGTCCCATAATTCTCAACAACCTTGATTATAAGGGTGCCCTTGGAGGTTTCAAAAATGGTGACCTCATGATGGATTAGGCCATCTATCATTTAGATCCTTTGAATGAATTATTTCTCAGCATGCCCTTGCTACTACTCGCTTTTAAGGATGAGTTCATATGGGTAAGTGGTTGATAAGGATTTAGCATCCCTTTTATATTCTTTCATATTCACGTAGATGTTGGCTAGGTCCAACAATTCAACAAGGGATTTTGATTACTGCAAGCTAAGTGCATACATGGACCCTCTCTCAATCCTTGGGTCTATGTGACTTGTGCTACCATAGTTACGAGATATTTTACTTCAAATATTTTCCTTTGGAAGCTAACTATGAAGTTCCTCAAGGATTCCCCTGGCTTCTACCTCATCTCCAAAAAAGCTTATGAGCTATTTCAGGTTTCTAAGTATTGACGAACTGAGTTACAAACATTCTCTTGAATTCAAAAAAGGAGTTGATCAAACCTAGTAGTAGGCAAGTGAATCACGTATGTGCCAACTCCGTAAGCATTGTAAATAATAGGAGACACATAAGGGTATCATTGATGTCAAGTAGAGAGGTCGTCAATTCAAAGGTCTTCACATGGTTGATCGAGTTAGTCTTGCCCCTATAGAATTCCAAGTGGGTCACCTTGAATTTGGGAGGTGGCTTAGCCTTAGTGATCTTCCTCAAGAAGGCTTTAGTGAGCTGGAGCTCTTCCCTTTAACTCACAGAGTAGGCAAGTTGTATTCATCATCACTCATTAACATGCGAGTGTGGCGAGGGATGGGCATTGTGTTTAGTCCTTAATCTTTTGGTCTCAGATGATGGACTATTAAATCAAAAGAACCTTCAAGGTTAATTTTCCTATGGACTCATCCTTGGAGCCCACTCAGAGCGTTATGGATTATCTTCATGATTATTTATTCCATCTTTAACAAATCATGGCAAGTGATAAAATCATTATTTTTAATGTTCATAGATGAATCTTGTTGAGTCGGCTCATTAATTAGAACATATCATCTTGCCATTAGCATCAATTTATGCTTATTGCACCTGAAATGATTATGGATCCAAAAATAACCATGCTAGACACCCAACTTTACTAGCAAATTTATCCTAAAAGTAAAGGACCTAAGAACCTATGAGTGAATGGAGAAAAAAGAGAAGAAAAAAATTAGAGAATTAGATAACTTAAGAATCTGTAGAGAATGAATCTCAAATTAACATAAACTCCACCATAATTAAATAAATGCTCTACCAGATGTCCCAAACTATTCCTCATCACCATTATTTGTAGAGTTCTAAAGGATATAGGCAAAGCTATACTAAAAATTTAATGATACAATACTACAAAAAGCACCCGTATAATACTACACAGAGTAGCCTATACACATCATTTTTTGATTGGCTAATGAAAGGCGAGGCCGCAAGTGTTCTAAACAAGCTATCTCTAGGCAAGCTCAACAGTGTCGAATAGGCAAGTAAGCTTGGACCATTCTGTGGGTTAGCGTTGAGATGAAGGTAACTATGAGTGACAAGCTTCTTGCTAGATACTTGTGTGATAGATCTCAAATCACCTAAAAGGAGAGAAGCAAGTGACATGTTGTCTTAAAAAAAAAAAAAGTGACATGTTGTCTTGAGAAGAAAAAAGCTCAAGTTATGCAATCGTGATGAAGGGTCTTATGAATTGGCACTTCTCATGAATTTGGTGAGTTTGTATGAGGATAATCGCTCTAGAAAAAAAAAACGATTGATTGAGATGGCGATCCAAGTACGTTGCATGTGCCAAATTGCTAACATGATGAAGAACCTCCCACTCACCCCATCCATAAAGGGCAAGTTCTTTAATAGGCACGGAGTAGTAGTGCTTGTTGGTCATATTTGACGAGTTCTCCTGTGAGTTCCAAACAAGTAATGCCTCTTGAGGGTGAGTTCCTCTGTCACAACCCAATGGCTACTTGCTTAATATCTGTGAAGGCATACACGAGTATAAAATACCCAACCTAGCAATTTGGTTTCTTACACTTCCTTGCCATCCTGAATATATTGAAGAACAAGATATAATGCAATACAAAATAAATAAATAAATAATATGTATAACAAGAAAATTATAGTTAACAAGACATCTAAGCTAAACATGTTAAGAAAAGCAAGCAAGCTTTGCTATGGGAAAAAATAGACGGGAAGCAGTTCTAAGGTTGCTTTACACATGTAGAATATCTATCATGGCGTTTGAAAAAGTGAAGAATATATGCTCCGGTTTAAATGAACTTTAGACATGGAAGCATGCATGCATATATTCCGGAATTTTAAAGGTATTTATGCATCACCATTAAGTTCAGTTAAATAAAACATAGCATATCTATCAAGCTTTTCAAACAAGTGCTAGATTAAAAACATAAAAATAAAAACAGGATGGATCCTAGAGTTTTAACAATTACGAACGCCCCAAAAGAGAGTTCATAGTTTATTTTTTTAATTATGGGCCTAAAATTACAAATTTGTAATTCAAAATCATACCGACTTAAATCACGGTACCTTTCACAACCCATAGGAATTTAGAAATCCCTGAAATATTTGCTTTTCAAGGAGAAAATTTATGCTAAGTTTTAAGAAAAAACAACAACAATAATTAAAAAAAAAATACCTTAACAATTTATTTCAAATGTGAAATTACTTAAAATAGCATCACCGAGACCTTAAGAAATATTTTACGCACTATTCTTGCACATGAGGTTGCCTTGTTCAAGTGCTGAATAAAAATTAAGCTGGCTCTACACCTACTTGCACACAATCGGATTAGAGTTGTCTTTTCATCTATAGTAAGCTATTTCAAGGTTAAAAGTAATTAGGATGGGATTTAATCTCAATCACTGGATAATTTTTAAGCAATTCATAAATTTTTTAAATTATTAATATAGATAACAAATACAAAAATATAGACATTTACAAGTCAAATTTAATCTAGTTAGCTAATCCTCCAGACTAAAACCTTGATTTAAAAGGAACAAAAAAAAAATTATCCTTTTTTAAAAAATATATATATATTCTATGATCACAGAATTTTATATAAAAACCTTCAAAATATTAAATTATAAATTGAGAGCACCATAACCCTAACCTCATAATCAGATAATTGATAACCTTTGAAAGCAGTTTTGAACATCTTTTAGTGAATCAATAATTAGATCAAATCATCTGTTCTAGCTGGAGCTTGATTTTCTATGTATTTCGGAGGGAAGTTAATACATGACGAATGAAAAACATTTCCATTTCATATAAGTAGGATAGGTTTTAGCGTTTGAATTGCTTGTTTCTAATAACAAAGCAGCCCTTAAACTTGAGCTATCCCCAATGCGTTTTATATCAAAATATACCAACATGATTCTTTTTCCAGTACAACCAAGCCTAAGTCTTCGTTTGAGACTGTTTTTTTACTACTTTCTAAAATGGAGTTTTAATACAAATATTTTTTTATTTTTTATTAAAACTCCATTTTAAAAAGCAATAAAAAAAACCGTCCCAAACGAAGCCTAAGTCTAAGTGTATATAGCTATTATCGCCAATCTCCCAATTTAAATAGTCAGAAAAAAGGTCGACCTTCTATCCACAATCTCAGAACTGTGCATGCCCACAATAGCATTTTTCACACAGCCAAGACTACCTCCACCAAAAGCCTAAGTTTTCGTTTGGGACGACTTTCTTATTACTTCTTAAAATGATTTTTTAGTACAAAATTAAAATTTTTGTGCTAGGAATCCGCTTTAAGAAGCAAGAAGAAAACTGTCCCAAACAAAGCCTAACTATTTGCCGCAGGCTGCTTCAAGTAAAGATTTGCAGCATTTTTAGAGGTTTAAAAGGAAAAGTCACCAGGCCTACTGCCCACACAAGGTAGGCGCATAAAGAATCAACATTTGTTCTTCGGAATAATTTAATAAAATGTATGATGTAGCTATTCAATCCTAACAGGTGAGGGCATTGAGGGAGTGAATAAAAGCAGCATAAGAGAGCCTCTCTATTTTACGTCTAAAACCATCAAAAGCACTAACTAATCGTTAAATGATGTAAAATCACGGACATGATAGATCTTACCCTGCCGAACAGAATTGCAGGAACAGCCTTGCAATTACGCGCCAATTCATATCAACTACGTGAGCTACACTAAGTTTTAGAAGAAAAAGAAACATCTCACACAAAAAGATGAAAAAAGCAACAGCCCAGAACGCCAAGAATCATATATAGTCCTTATATTTTGCCAAAAAAATGACGTGTATGTCAATTGGAGGTCCTACAGTTATAATGGAAAGTCATTATAGTTGACATCATTTAATCTTAACCCAACTATTTGGGTTTTTCATGAAATACAATTTTGAAAAAACATCAGATAAGTTTTCTAAGATATAGTACTCTAACGTATAAACATAAAGATATTGTCGCACACAACAATCCTAAGCAGAATTGCAACTGCTGAATTAAGTAATCAGTTCGTCTAAATCACTTTCATTTGTTAACTGCAAATCTTGAAACCATTATATGCATCACGTCATACAAAAAACAACATGCCAAAAGAGCTTCCCACCATTTCCATAAACAACGCCACCTTGAAGTTAAAAAGAAAATCGCAAGAGCAAACTGTTCCTATTTCAAGAAAGAGTAGCGCGTGAATAACATTAAAAAAAGGGAGAAATTGGAAAATTGCATAAAAAAAACAACCCGCACCCTGGCGCCATACAAAATCAAGCAAAAAAAAAATCCTTAAGGAAAATGGATGCCCTCAGCTCTGGGTGATGCTATTTCAGGCAACAGCTTCAAGAATAGGCCTAACTTGATGATTAATCCAAATATCTTATAAATAGATGAATAAAGCTTTGTTAAATGCAAAGCCCTTGACAGAGCAACAATATGTTAGACCGGTCCAAGCGGGACCGGCTCAGACACAAACAGGGCGGAAAAACTTCCGCCCGCTGGGATGCCGAGTGAGCCGCACAGTGTGCGGGAACCAAATAGGAAAGAAATTTTGGGGAGTTCTGAGGGAAATTTGAATGTAGGGACTGTTTAGGGAATTCCTTTTGATTTGTATGTATTAAATAGTTAATTTTCCTAGGGTTTGAGTATCTTGAATTTGACTGAAATTTGAGATCTCTTAGATTTAGGTTTTCTTTGGGCTCTAGCGGCATCTAGAGATTTGGGAGAGGTCAATCCTCCTCTCGAATTGAGAATCAATTGTATCTTTTCTATTTTGTTGCATCTATTAGTAAAATACAAGTCTTTTCTCCACTGTTTTCTCTCCGATTTGCTATTTTTTCACTGTTTTGGGGCTGATTTCTGCTGTGGACAGCAGGTTATCATTGATTATTGCTACTAAAGTGGTTAGTAAATACTTGAAATCAAGTATTTCCTATCAAATTGGTATCAGAGCCTAGTTTTTGGGACCTTAGGCAGCTGAAATCTTGATTTTTCAGCGAGCTTTTGGCTTCCGGGAGTGATATTTTTAAGATCCATTGGGAAGAAAGATGGCCGGAACGAAAGTTGACGTCTTGGAAGGCGAACTCGGCCAATTGAAAGCCGATTTAGAGGAAAGATTCTGCAACTTTCAAAATCAAATCACCTCAAACAATGAAAGGTTGGAGGGGAAGTTCACCGCGATGGAGGAAATGATGAAGAAACTATTTGAAATGAAGACCAATCCGGCGACATCGAAAGTAAGGGAGACTACCGACTGTCATGGCATGCAAGGAAATTCGAACCCCTTGAGGGGGAGGAAAAAAGGACGACGACCACTCTTCTAGCACCCAAGGGGCCTGCATCAGGCAATAGCAATGAGACCACCCAGGAGAAGCCAGTAGGAGGAGGGAGTGGGGAAAATTTCAAGAGGCTGACAGAGAAGGAGATGCAGGATAAGAGGACAAAGGGGTTGTGCTTCAGATGTTATGAGAAGTACATGCCATGGCATATGTGCAAGGACCGAACTCTTCAGGTTCTCCTTGTCTGTGAAGACGAGGAAGACGAGGAGGGAGGTGGGAGCAGATCTGGAGAGGAGGAGGAGAAGTTGCACTTGGATGTAGCAGAAGTCTCTCTGA